ATTTTATTTGGGTCTGCGTGCACGCAGGCCCACCCATAGAGAATCTGCGCGGTCGTTGGAGGTTTTTTTTTATTTTGTTTTTCTTGTGCGTGTGGGGTACAACACAACTGCGCCAGACACCCGCACACGCTCAGTTGCGGTGATGCAGAGGCCGTCCTCGGTGTGGACACGCTCTCTCTCTCTCTGCGGCTACCGCTTGCCGCCGCCGGCCTCTTCCAGGGGAAGAAGAAAACAGGCGAGCAACTGCGAGGCCCTCTGGTGTTTCCACGTGTTGCGTTGTCTTTGGCGGCGGCGGAGCGTTATTCACTCGCTCTTGTGCCGTTTTTCTTTTTCGTTTGTGGTTTGTCTTTACTCCGCCGATTTTGGCCTCGGGGGGGGCAACGCCGCGTCTGCCGGTTTCTTCCCCACTCTCTCTTTCTCTCTCTGTGTGTGCGTGTGTGTTCTTCCTGCACCCCTTTTCTGTGCGATGGGTCCTTCCTCCGCTTCATCCGTCTCCCTTCTGCCGCAAACCCGCCTGCACGGGCGGGGGCGCGGGTGCCGGAACGTTGAAGCGCAGCCAGCCGGTATACCGAAGGGGATTGCGATAAGGGGGAAAAGAAAAGCAAAAGAAGAGGGGAAGAAGAAGAAAGCAAAAACATGTCGGCAGGGGACTTCTTCACCATCACCGACCCCGTGCAGAAGGAGCAGGCGAAGCACATGATTTTCAAGCTCCAGTCCAAGATCATCTACAGCGAGAAGTACTACGACGACGAGTACGAGTACCGTCACGTTGTGCTGCCGAAAGACTTCGCCCGCCTCGTGCCGCGCAACCGCCTGATGGAGGAGTCCGAGTGGCGCCAGCTGGGCGTTCAGCAGTCGGTTGGGTGGCGCCACTACATGGCTCACAAGCCGGAGCCGCACGTGCTGCTCTTCAGGCGGCCAAAGCAGCTGTAGGAGATGATATAGATTGACAGATTGATAGACATACAGTTTCCTTGTAGAATAAGTAGCAACCCAGCCTCCTTCCCAAGTAAAGAAGAGGTAAAAAATAAAATAAAAATGCAACAACAACAACAAGAACCAAAAAAGAACCGATAGCGAAAACAAACAAACAAACAAACGTTGTGTTGCTTTATTGTGCTGCTGCCAATAGAGAGAGGAGGTTTCTGCAGTTTGTCGGCAGCTGTGCGCCCTCCGTCATTTATTACTATTATTATTTTTTATTCTTCTGCATACCGGCGGCAGTGGCGCCACGCATAATACTACGAAAACAAAAAAAAACAAACAAAAGAGTGACTTTGTGCCTGCCTGTCCCTGGCTTATGTTTTCCTGCCTTTCGTGCAGCTTTGCCCTTCATTTCGTCTCTCCTCCCTTCCCCCGCCTGCGCAGTGCCAGTGTCGTATACATAAATATATATATATCTCCCCCCGCACGATGGCGAGGATTGGGCGGCGGTGGTGGCTGCTGCTATCGGGTCTCGTCGCGCTGGTGCCAGCGGCTGCGCTGTGCATGCGCTTTGGCGGCGGCTGCCGGGTGCGCCTGAGCAAAAGTGGGCCGACGGATGACGATGATGACGACATCGACGACGATGACCTTAACGCGCATGGCAACAACACTGCCGCCGCGGGGGTCGAAGAAAAGACCCGCGAGCAGTACCATGACGCACTTGGCCGGCTGAAGGAGAACGCCAACAAGATGTTTCAGGGGGGGCAATTCGATGCTGCGCTGAAGCTGTACCAGGGGTGCCTTGACGTGTGCGCCGCGCTTGGCGCCGGCGATGCCACGGCGGTGCAGGTTTCTCAGGTTGTGCGCGCCAACGTGGTGCTTGTGTTCCTGAAGCTGCAGAGGCCCGAGGAAGCGCGGATGCTGGCGACCTTCCTGCTGCAGGACGACACGAACCCTGTCGAGGGGGAGCTGAAGGTGAAGGTGCTTTACCGGCGCGGGCTGGCCAGCCAGGCACTCGACGATCGCGAGTCGGCGCTCTGCGACTTTAGGGCCGCCGTTTTGCTCTCGCCCGAGGGAAAGAATCCGGCCGCACAAAACGCAATTGCAGCTCTCTCCCGCAGTGCCGCGGCATGACCGCGCACGGAAGCGGACAGCGGCGCACAGAGGCGGTGGTGAGTGGCCGCCCCTCCTTTTCGTCTCTTTGTGCTGCAGTCGTTGCCTGCTGTGCGATCGGTGCCTTCCTTCGGCTTTACTTGAGGGCGGGAGATGACGCCGTACTGACCTTTGCCGGGGCTCTGTGCGGCGACGCCACCATGGGTCATGATGGGTTTCCCTGGCGTCTGCGTGGTTGTGGTGGTGGTGGTGGTGGGTGGGGGGGGGGGGTTCACACTCGCACCACGCACGCTCGCCTCACTTCGTTCCACCCATGGGCTTCGCAGACGACGCGGAGGGATACTAACGGCGATTCCCTGCTGTCGCCCCAACGGGCCTGCCTTTCCCCGCGAAAGGGACGCGAGGTGACGCGCGGGCGCCATTTACCTATTTTTGCTTTCCTTCTTTCAGGACCTTTTAATTGCTCTGCTGCGCTCCTTCGTGTTCATTAGTTTTTTATTTTTTATTATCTTTTTTTTTTCCTCCTCTTCTTCGTTTTCCCCCAACCCCCCTGTTCCCTTCTCTTTTGCTTCCCGGCAGCAGGAAGATGCTGACTCCGATATTCGTCTGCGAGCAGGATGAGTCGTTTGTCATTGTTTCCATAACCCTTTCGGCCCTCTGCAAAGTGACAACGGCCATTTTCAGCATACTGGGGCAGCAGTTTACGTTTCACTGTGCCCCGTACTACCTGCGCCTCAAGTTTGATCAGTGTATTGCGGAGGGGCGCAATGAGCGGGCGACGTACGCGGTTGAGACGAATGTCCTGACTGTGTACGTCCCCAAGGAGCACAGAGGCGAGCTGTTCACGCAGCTGGACAACCCCGCCTACCTCATAGCCACGGAAAAGGAACGCCAGCAGCTGGTACAGTTGGTCGGGGGCAGTGAAGCGCAGCGGGAGGATCCCGCGCCACTCGACGAGGAAGAGACGGAGTTTCGGCAGCAGTTATTTTCTGCACGTGGGCCAGCAGAGGGCTGCGGCGACTACGGCTTTGCAGGAACTTTCTCTGGGTTGTTTGCCTCCGTTGACCCCGGCATCGCTGCCGAAGTGCTTGATCTACCGCGCAACCCAGAGGAGACAACGGTGGCCGAGCGGCGGCAGCTTCGCCTGCAGTCGGAAGACCACGCCTTTGATGAAGACGCCCTGTTGTTAAGCTTTGAAGACGCTGAGGGAGAAGTGAAGCGTTTGCTCCAGTACGTGCCCCAACACCGTGCGGACTACGTCGCCGCTTTGGATGCGGAGGGGATTCGCTACATGGTCCCGTCCGCAGCAATGCGAGGGAATGCCACAACTGCGACTGCCGCTGCCGCTGCCGCCGCAAACGGTGACCACGACAGGGGTGTGCTGGAGGAGGAGGATGTCGTGTTGCCGATTTCCACCGGCGTTGTGGATGTCTGGGCTGGCAATATTGGGGACTTTAAACGACCTCTCGTCGAGGAGGTTCCGCCGCCGGTGCTGGCGGACGTGGACGTGCCAATGGAGGCCTCCAGGGCGACAGTTGCGGCGCCTCCTGCCGGATCGCTCGCCACTCCGCAGCAACGCCCGCGTGTATCGTTCTCCTTGGACGAACAAGCGGTGCTGATGAATATTAAAGCCCCACGTCTACTGTTTCCGCCCGCTGCCCAGGTTGTGGACGCGCTCACGGCGGACATTCTTTTTTCCGAGGCCTACGACGACATTGTGACGGAAGGGACAGGCTGCAGCGAGTCCTTGTGGAATGTCTGCAAACTAAGCCCGGCGCTCTCTTGGCTGGACCCGGCGGAGAATGTGTACGACGCCTGTGTCTTCTTCGCACGTCGAGCCCTCATTTACCCGCTGCACCGCAATTTTGCTTTGATTCAGCGCGTATTTTCCTCAGTTGGGGTGCGGCTGCTGTTGGGGAAATCGTACGTCATAAAGGCCCTCCTGCGTGTGCGCGCCATACTCGCCCACGCGGAGCACCGCCACGTGCTCGTCACCCTCTTCCTGAACCCGCTGCTTGGCTACTGGATGGGCGTGCAGGACGCCGACGAGCGTTTGCTTCGCCTCGCGTTGGAGCTTCACGCGCATGTCACACGTGTGGAGCCCGAGATGGAGGTGGCCGCCCCCACCTCCTCGCTGCTCGTGCAACGGAAGCGGCGGCTGCTCCCGCTGAGTTTGCTTAACCTCGGCCTGCCGTTCTCCTGACGCGACCAGACTTCGTACGCCGTGGAGGGCCCCTCGCTCTCTCTGTCTCTCAGTCTGTGTGGCGTCATCTCCAACCCCGCCCTTCCCTGTTGGGTGCAAATTAAGCGATGGGGTAAAATTGGGAGGGGGGCGTCTGGGGGACAATAAGAACGCGAAAATAACGAGCCGATTAACGTGAGTGTGCCGCCCCGGGGTTGGCTTTGCCTGTGTGGGGTGACTAGCTCTAATATACTGCCCAGCTACCCACCTTCTTGCCTTCTTTCTTTGCGGGGACAACGCTAATTGTTATCATTATTGCTAGTATATATTATATATGTATATATAATATTTGCTTCCCTTCCTTCTTCTTCCTTTTGCCTCTCTGTGACGTGGCACCGCTAATACGCCTGTGGTCCCGCGGTTGGCGCTGCGATTAGCATTCAGGGAGCCTCGGGGAGGGCGCTGACGTCGTCGATGGTCTTCGCGCCTGTTGGCGCCGACGACAATGGTGTTAGCCCGGTTGAGGTGGCATCGCACTTCTTCACGGGCGTCAACGACCCGCGCGTCGGGACCATGGACTTCTCGTTAGATGGACGATATTTTATTTCCTCCCACGCAGACGATGCACTGCGGCTTATTGATGTTCTGTCCATGCGGCACAATGAGACAATTCAGTTAGAGGCCTTCGGTGTGCACTGCGCAAGGTTCACCCAGTCCAGCGACGTGGTCTGCGTGGCCCCCCGGTACAGCAGCGACGGCCACTTGTATTTGCTGAGTCTCACCTCGGCACAGTTGTTTTCTGCGATGGCCTTTGTTAGCGACGATGTATCGGAGCTGCGAGCTGTGAGTAACACGCCGGTGTATTCAACAATATCCCAGTCTCCCCAAAGCGACGTGATTGCCTCTGTATTTTCGACGCAAGGACGCCTGCTGCTGTTTCATCCATTAATCTCCGGGGCGATTGCGGCATCCGGTGAACGGACTGTGCTAGGCAGCAGGGCCGCCGTGTCATTTAGCCCCGACGGAACGAAGCTTGTCGTTGGAGACGACCACCGGGTTCATGTTTTTGATTACAGAAAGATGTTCTCCGCTCCACTTGTGTCGTTGGAGAACAAGACGATTTTCACCGAGTCGAGCGCGGCGTCGCGGTGCAAAGGGGCCGAGGTGAACGCCGACGGTTCCCATTTGCTGCTCACGTCCTCCGGGGGGGAGGCGGTTGTGTATTCCCTGAAGCAGGGAAGAGTGGCGTGCTCGTACTTCCACAACGTCGCCCGTCGTCACTTCATCGGCGCCGGCGACGCCGTGGGCGCAAAATTTGTGTTCCCCAACCTCACAAGCTCGCCGGTGGTGCAGTTGTCCACGTGCATGAATGCGGGGCGGCACCTGCTGGTGTACGACGGCTACGATGGGCAGTTCTCCGGGTCGTGTCAGCGGGGTGCCCTCAAGTACGAGCTGCAGTGCAGAGACAGCGACGTGCCTGTCGCGTTAAGTGTCAACTCGAAGTATGCGCTGCTGGCGACCGCGGCGAGGGGTGTGACGTGGTGGTCCTTCAACGCATAGGCGCCTGGGGGCGGGCGGAGGCAAAAGGGGCGGCTTGGAGAAGCGGGGCCCCCGGCGGCGTGCACGCTCCGGGCCCTGACGCCCCGGGAACCGGCGGGTAAACTCCCCCGCCCCCCGCCTCGTCGCCTCGTCTCTTTTTGCCCCCGCACTCGCCAAAAAAAAAAAAAAAGTTATCTTTAAACAAAAATTCCCTGCCGCCGCTCTCCGTTTTCGTCGTTGATGCCGCTTTTTTGTTGCTGTTGATTTCACGCTGCCGCGCCCGACGCGTTTAGCTGAGTGCCTCCTGTTGTCTTCTCTTTTCTTCTCCGCGCCTTCTTTTGGCGGGGGGAAATGCGTGTCGCACGCAGGGTCGCGAGTGGGAAGGAGCGAAGTAGCGAAGGAGGGAGGCCGGTGCTTAACGTTTTGGCTCGACGCGGCAAGAGTGCGTGAGTGCAAGGGGCCGGCAAAAGAGAAAGAGAAGGAGGGGAAAAAAAAAAAACAGCAACTACACAAAAATAAAAACAAAAAGAGGAGTAACATTTGGAGCAAGGAGGCAAGCAGTAATACGCGTTGACATTCTTCTAACGACAACACAACAAGCCTAGAAGAGGAGGCGAGGACACTCAATATATATATATTTCTAGGCTTTTCGATAGCGATGAGGTTTGTTGAACAGCAGCGGGATCTATGGCGTGTGCTCCGAAGTCCGTCGCGGCACTCAGCAGGTGAGCGCAAGCGCGCGTATTTCTTTCTCTTCGCCTACTGTCTCACCATTGCGGCACTCTTTGCGAGTTTTATGCACTTTGTGGGGGCGTGGGTTTCCGCTGGCCTGCTGCAACTCGTAATGATCATTTTCGCCATGATGTACGCCCTCAACATTGCGGACTGCCGGGACAAGTGCCTCAATGTGCTGGAGTGCGAGCGGATCGTTAACCCCGTGTTGGAGGTTTACATCGCGCTCCGCGTGCTGCAGCTGATCCAGGCCATATTTTTCCTTCACAGCATCGTGATGTCTGTCGCCTTCGTCCTGGCGCTGCTGTTTCTCTTTTGGCGTATGTCGACAGGTGTCTTCTTCGTCGACGCGACGAGCCTCTGGCGCGAGGTGGGGCGGCTTGAGCAGGGGTCGTACCTCGTCATGGGCAGTGACATCGTGCTCTTCATGACGTACCTTGTCAGCATGGTGGTCTCCATCGTCCTCCGCTACGCGGATTAGGGGGGCGCGGCCGCGCTTGACGACCACCAGCGCAGGCGAGGGGACGGGGGGCACACCGCAGCTGCGAGAGGAGCGCGAGAGGCGCCGCCGCCACACAGGCAGAAGACGGCGGCAACGGGATTGGCAGGGGTTGGTAGAAGCATGTCTGCTGCCACTTCCCCTTTTTAGTTCGCCGCACTGGGGAGTTTTGTCCGCCGCGCCAAATTTGTTTGGTGGCGCTCTACTCTGCGGACGTCGCGTGAGCGTGTGCGTCCCCCGCGCCCCTTCGTTGGGCTGTGTGCGTGTGTGTGTCTGGCGCCGTGGGAGGGGCTGCCTGCGGGCGCTGAGCGGCGTTTCTCGGTGATTGGCGAGGAAGCCGTCAAGAAGTGGGAGGAAGACGCAACACCTCTCGAAGGCTTCGCCCAAAGTCGCCCTAACAGACATCCAAAAAAAACAAAACAAATAAAAATAACAACAACTGTTCTGTCTTGCCGCAATTGTGTGTCTTCCCTACATTTTAAAACAAAAAAAGATTTGAAGTTCTCTCGCTTTTGTTTCCTTGAGTCCTACAGGACGAGCCCCTTCTTTCCGTTGGGCTCTTTCACGGTTTTTTTTCTGGTCTTTTCCCTGCTGACCCCCGTCCCTTTTTTTTTGTTTTTGGCTTTGCTTCTTCCTTCTGTTCGTCGCTGCTGGCGGAAACGCGCGTTTCTTTCCCTTCCTTTCCATTCGACTCCCGGTCTGTTGCTTCCACCAGAGGATGGCGGCGGTGGCGGCGGCGCCGGCGGAGGTCGGCCTCGGGCTGGAGCAGCTGCAGGGCATGCTGCACACCATTTTGAACTCGACAGACAACAACGAGCGCCGCGGCGTGGAGTCGAATGTTGTGCGTGCGCTCAGCTCCCCCTCCAACCTTATGCTTCTGGTGCGTGTGGTGCAGGAGGTGCAGACGGTGTCTGCCGGTGTTCGTCAGCTTGCGGCCGTGCTGCTGCGAAAGAAGATAAGTTCCTTGTGGTCTGCGATTCCAATGGAGTCGCGGGCGGAGCTGAAGCGTGTTCTTTTGGCGCAGCTTGGGTTTGAGCCGGTGCGCGTGGTGCGGTTTGCGCTGGCGCACCTCATCTCGCGCCTGGCCAAGGCGGACACGCTGGAGACGGGGGAGGGATGGCCAGAGCTGCAGGTGGCGATTCGTGCCGCGGTGGAGGACCCGCGTGGCGACATGCGGGAGCTCGCGATGGTCTTGGCGTACAGCATAGCGGAGGTGGTGGGGGAGGGCGGCGGCGGCCTCGGCACCCTCGTGACGGAGGCGGTGCTGCAGGGCATGACTGACGCGGAGGTGGGTGTGCAGCGGGCGGCCCTGAAGGCAATGGGGGCGCTCCTGCTTTTTGTCGACCTGGACGGGGAGGACGCGGCGGCGGCGGCGCGGAAAAAACGCGAGCGGGAGCAGTTGCTGCAGCGCCTCGCCCCGCGTTGCCTGGAGCTTCTGGCGACGTGCGCTTCGCTGGAGGAGAGGACGAGCGTCTGCGTGGACGTCTTGGACCTGCTTGAGCAGCTCGTCGAGGACCTCAGCGTCCGGAGGCACGGGGCAATCCTCCACAGTTTGGGACTCGAGATGATTTCGGTGCTTTGCAACACGTCGAATCAGCCGCGCGTGCGACAGGGCAGCAGCGAGGTGCTGGTGACTCTCGTGAACTTGAAGCCCAAGTTTGTGACCACGGCGTTGCTCCAGCCCATGGTCGCGGCGTGCGTGCAGGTCATGGGCGAGGACGGCACCATTTCGCTGCCGGAGGTGGCGCACGTGGAGGACTCGGAAAACGACGGCGAGGACAATAACCTCGACGAAGCCGCCGATATGCTGCACGTGAACCCGCCCTGCATGTACGCCGGACGTCTGTTAAGTACGCTTGCAACAAAAGTGTCAGCCAAGTCGTTTACCAGCGCGTTGTTGCCGTTTGTTTCGCAGGTCTCGGAAAATCCACAGGCGGGTCCTCTTGAGCGCAAGGCAGCCATCCTCTCCCTGGCCTGCCTGGCGGAGGGCAACCCGGGCTACCTGCGACGCAAGGTTCAGTACGTGTTAAAGCTAACGCATGATTTTTTGCACGACAGCAGCCACATTCCACGCGAGGCGGCGGCCTTTGCCCTCGCATATTTCTGCCTGCATCTCCAGCCGGAGGTACTCACGCATCATCAGCAGCTCTTTCCCATGCTTGTGCCACTTCTTCGGGACGAGCATGACGGTGTGTGCCGTCGTGTGGCTGGTGCACTGGACACACTCTGTGAGAACGTTGCGGAGGACGTGGAGCCGTACGTGCCGCTGGTGCTGCCAGCGGTGCTGGAGGCCATTGGGCGCGTTTCCCTGGAAACGCAGCGGGCACTCTGCGGCGTGATATCGTCCCTGGCCATCACCCGAAGTCCGTCGTTTCAGGCCCATGCCACCCAGTGCCTGGAGCTGCTGAAGACGCCGCTGACGATGACCTCGCCGGAGACGATTCTGCTGCGAGCAAAGGCGACGGAGGCGGTGGGTATTGTTGCTAACGCCATTGGGAAGGAAACCTTCATGCCGTTTTTGCCGTTTTTCATTGAGCGCGTGGCCGACAACTTCCATACCCGGCAGGCGGAGCTGCGGGAGGAGAGCTTTGGGTTCCTGTCAAACCTCTGCGAGACTTTGCGTGCCGACTTCATGCCCTACCTCAGCGACTCCATTGGCTGTGCGTTGCAGACCATCAACGAGGATCGAACGCACTACGAAAACAAGCATCTGCTGGCGGAGGGGTGTATGCGTCATGTGAACATACACGTCGGCGAGGAGAAAACCGGTGATGAGGACAGTGCGGAGTCGGAGGGGGAGAGCGATGCCGAGGAAATTCACGCGCGTGTGCGCACGGCGGATGTGGAGGAGAAGAGCAGTGCCGTTTATTTTATCGGTGTCTGTGCGGAGGTGCTACTTGCAGATTTTGGCACCTCCAGGATTGACGTCTGTTGGGCGGTGCTGATTGAGCTGGACGCGTACTTCCACAGCAGCATCCGATGCAGCGCCCTCGTGACACTGGCGAAGTTGACGAAGGCGGCGCAGGGCTCAGAGTCGGTGGTGAAGTCCCTCGCGGATGACACACTCACCTCGCACGCGCGCCGCCTGCTGGAGAGCTTGATTGCCGACACGCTGCTTCCATGCATTCACGAAGAGACAGACAAAGAGGTGGTGGCCGCCGCGTGTGACGCCCTCGCGCTGTTGTTTGACTACTTTGGTCCGCAGACACTTTGCGCGGGCGCTGACGCCTTTGTGCAGGCCGCCACGGCTCTGCTGAGGCAAGCCACCGCCTGTCAGCAGTCGCACGAGGACGAGGACGACGACGAGGATGAGGAGCAGCAGCAGGAGGGGGAGTCCCCGCCCACGGGAGCCGCCGCAGTGGAGCTCGGCGAAGACCACGACGGGGTGCTGATGGACGCGGCTTGCGACATGATTGAGTCCTTTGCCAAGGCGTATGGGCCGTCCGTGAAGGCCTACGCGGACGTCATCTTCCCCTTCCTCCTCCCCTACGCCGCGGATGACCGCCCGTCAGAGGACGTCGTCATGGCAACCGGGTGCCTCGCCACGATTATTGAGGCGATGGGCGCGGCATCCGAGCCGTACGTCGAGGACGCCGCTGCGCTGGCGTTGCATCTCATTGACACCACCGATGAATCCGCTGCAAAGGCCAACTGCGCCTATCTTCTCCGGGCCCTGGTGGAGTGCTGCCCTGGCCACTTTGAGAACGCTTCCGCCACAAACCCCGTACTGCAGGCGCTCTGGGGCATTGCCGGGAGCCAGGATGAGATTCCTGCGGCAGTAGACAACGCGGTATCCGCGACGTGCACCATGGTGCGTTGTCTCTCACCGACCGTCATTCCGCTTTCCTCGGTTGTCCCGGCGTTGCTGGAGCGGATACCGATGCGGGTGGATCGGACGGAAAACGCCAATGCCATTCGAACCCTTATACATCTTCTGACTTCGCAGCGCGAGTTCACGAGGTCGCACGTTTGGGCGCCGATGGTGCGCTGCGTCGCGACTGTGCTCGCCGCGTTGACCGTGGAGGAGGAGCAGAAGCGGCTGCTGGTTGCTCAAGGTCTCATTCCTTGCATTGGCACGTGCAGGAACGAGTGGAGGCAAGCGTGTGCGCAGTTGCCAGTGGAGTTGCAGGCCGTCTTGGAACGCCATGGCTGCTGCTGCTGAGCGCGTAGGCCACAACGAAGGGATTAACACGACTAAAAGAATATTAACTGAACGCTTTCAATATCTATATATTATATTACTTCTCCTCCTGTTCCGCGCGGTCATTGACATTTCTGCGCTCCTCCCTCCCGCCACGCTGTTGCCCCTTTTAAAGGGGCAAAAAAAGCACCGCGACGGCGGGGCGCCGACACTCGTTGTCGTCTTCCTGTTGTTTTATTTTTTTGCTTCCTTTTCTTCCTTCGCTTAGCTGGCGTGAAAAGGGCGGCAAGAGTCGTCGGGGCGATGGGCATGCGGGTCCACGTGCGGGCGTGCCCCAAATGCCGGACTGCCACACTGCGGGGTGAATGCCCGGTGTGCGGCGACGCCACCGCGGCCGTGAGCGCCTTCCCCGGGCAAAGTGGGAGCTCGTTGCTGGAGAATGACGGCTCCCACGCTGACGCACAGTTGCGGCAGCCGCCCGATGCGGGCAACAATAAAGACGATGGCAGCAGCACGGAGCTTGGGGCCTCGGTGGGTGCCTTGCTGCCGCCACCTGGCGCCCTCGAGGCGCGGCTAGAGCTCGCGGAGCTACAGTGCCGCATGTACTACGATCAACTCCAGCAGGTCATCACGGAGAGGGATGAGCTGCAGGAGAAGGTGCGGGCGATGGAGGCGCAACGATTGCTGGGGACAGGCAAGATACGGGAGCTTGTCGAGGAAAACAGGTGTCTGCGGGCTGTTGCCGAGGAGGCTGAAGTGCGCCTGGGTGTGGCGGAACTCGAGCAACAGGCATTGTTGGCCGAGGTTCAGCGCCTGCGGGGACGTATTCCTATTCTGCGGCGGCAAGCCGAGGCAGAGAGGCCACCGGCCAAAGTGGGGTCTCCCGACGCTGCTGGGGGCGCGCTGCGTCTCTCCCCTCTGGCAAAGACGAACACGACAGCCGAGCAACTTTCACGGCGGAGGCCATCGGCGAAAGGCGGCTTCAGCGGCACCGGCCACGGGAAGGGGCAGCGGGCGTTGGCTGCCTCCAACGAGCACCTGCAGGCTCGCTGCCGCTCGCTGGAGCGCCACGTGCGGCGTCTCCGCGAGGAACTCGTGTCGCAGGGTCTCTCGCCGTCGCCGATGAGGACCCCCGACTATCAGACCGGGTTGTAAGGCGGCAGCGTAAGCGCCCCACACCTTTCTCAACGCTGGTCTTTTCCCCTCTTTTTTCTTCTTCCTTTCTTCCTGCCGCGCCCCTCGAACGAAGGCGGGGGTGCGAGGGTGGCGGCAGCACCTCTGCGCCCCTGTCCGCCCACCCACCTAACATGCGTGCGTGCGTGCGTGCGTGCGTGGCTCCCGTCGGGGGCGCGCAGAGGCGCCGGCTTCGGGACCGCGTCGCTGTCGTTCTTCCTTCTCACTCGCACCGTCGTCGGAAGGAAGCACACGGACAGCCGCGGACGCCCCACCCGCTTCATCATCCACATCATTTGCGTATTTTTTTTCCTCCCACTCTGCGACCACAGTTCAACTGTTCGCTAACGTTTTTTTTAGTTATATATATATTTTTCTCCTTGACGCTTTATCGACAGGCCCGGCGCCGCCGAGAGAAACGAGGCCAGCGGCGGCGGGATGAGTAGCGTCTCGCAGTGCAACGCCTGCGGCACCCTCACGACGCTGGCGCAGTGCCCCAATTGCGACAGCAAAACGCGAGTGCACGCCCCACAGCCGCAGCGGATATTCCACGCGCCGCAGCCTTCAACCGCCGCGGGACTCGGCGTGGACAGTTCCACCTCGCCGCCCGCCCCCCGCCGCACGCCGCGGGAGGACACGCAGAAGATGGCCCTGACGCTGGGGGAGCTCGAGGACCTCTACCGCGCAAACAAAGTGCGGCAGCACGGCGCCCGGGCGGCTGCGGCACCACCCGACGAACTCTGCGCCCTCAGAGTGGAGCGGAACAATTTGGCGCGCGAACGGGACATGCTGCAGCAAACGATCGCGCAGCTCTTTCAACAGCTCGAGGCGGCGCGGAAGGATAACTTGCGGCCTGCCAGCCTTGACCCACGCCTGCGGCACCACGCCGCGGTGGGACGCATGAGTGGTCAGGCGACACTCACCACTCTTCAGGACGAAAGCACGGCGCTGCAGCGACAAAACAGCGCCCTCGAAGAGGCCTTGAGAGACGCGCAGGGCTGCGCTGATGTCTGGCGGGAGAAGAAGCCCGTCCTACGCAACAAGCACCGCAGCGTGGAGGCAGAATACATGCCGATGCGCCACGAGAGCCGTACGCTCCAGCAGGAATTTGCGGAACTCATGCAACTCCTCAACGACACTCGAAAAGGCAAGGAACAGGCTGAAGCCGCCTCCTGCGCAACTGAAGAAGCACTTAAACAGGCACAGAAGGAAGCACAAGATGCACTCCGTCAGCTGGCCGCACAGTCCCGTGAAACGCAATACTACAAAAAACTCTCCACAGAACTTGAGACAAACCTAAAAGAAATGGATCTTAATATATCGGAGGCCAGAAAACAAATTCAAGATATCGACAAGAATAACACACAACTCATACCAAAAAACATGCAACCCCAACACGATAATGAAATCATAACACAGGAAATGGAAAACGCTGCGGCGGAGAGCGATCAGCTGCGGAAGGAACGGGACGACGCTGCGGCGGAGAGGGAGCGGCTGCGGAAGGAACTGGATGGCGCTGCGGCGGAGAGGGCTGAGCTGCGGAAGGAACGGGACGACGCTGCGGCGGAGAGGGCTGAGCTGCGGAAGGAACTGGATGGCGCCGCGGCGGAGAGGGCTGAGCTGCGGAAGGAACTGGATGGCGCTGCGGTGGAGAGCGATC